CAAAGAAATATAATTGCACTGCTTTGCGAAATGAAGCTAGGTTAGTTAGCTGATGAACTGATCACCAAGCTTGACAGCTGATTTGCAAACTTTTCGTCAGCAAAAGAGGAGACAAAATCACCGATCCCTAAGGGTGTCTCCTCAATCGGTGACGAGACGTTTTGCGAGCTAATGACCCAACACTTACCGGTTCAATCACCAGCAACCTTGTACTCCAACTGAATTAGAAATGATGACGGCGGTAAACATGAAAACGTAGTTGTTCTTCTGGCAAAAAATCACCTCAAGTGACAAATTGCTGGCGCATTCCACTGTGGGCAACTCACAATCATTTCCGATGCACCAACCCCAAAGGAACGTCTCTTTTCTGAGGATGAACTTTTAGGAGACAGACAGATCGAAAGACAGTCTTCCACTTCCCGAGTACTGTCGGTTTTCACTGTAGATGTTCCTATGGTAATCGAGTCAAAAAGATATTCTAAGGACACACAAGTCGATGTCATTGATTGAACTGTTACATCGCTGTTCCCATCGCTCATTAATAATGAATATAGATTGGTTTTATATTTGTCTACATCGAACTCTGTTGCTGCATCTACAAGCTCCGTTGGAAAATACTGTGTTTCAGTGCGTCTGGATCCACAAACGAACCAGGTAGACTAAGTTTGCGACATTATGTGATCTAAAACAGGACACGTTCAGACAGTCAATACAACCACGGTTTTCCCCAAGGAATCGTACCAATTCACAGTATCGTTCTACCATGTAAGAAAGAAAAACGGAAATTATCGAAATGGCCAGAATTCTCAAGTTCGTAGTATGCAAGTCTGGTTTTGCGTGAAGGCCGTTCGAATTTTTCACTGTGATAACAATGAAACGATCAATAACGTGCTATTGAAAGGTGTAATGATGTTTGCTTACTTTGGTATTTCATGATTCAAAGGTTGGAATTATGTCATAACTAATAAGATACTCTTCTAGCCGTCATATCTTCTCGTGCCACGCGGAGGCGGCGCGAGAGGTCTGAGCTACTGTCAAGTTGTTCGAACAGGAGCAGTCGAGATACAGAGGTGTGGTTTGAACCACGGACCTTCCGCTCAGGTCGGTTTACAGGCAGTGTGGAACAGCAAACATGTGTGATTCTGGTGCGTACTCTCCCAGCAGACTGAACAATGTGCAAAGTGGTCAAATCCATTGTATGGATGGGGAATGAGATCATGACTAATCCTGTAACTAACTTAGCCTTTGGCTAGGATGGTTTGGACAGGTGCGTTAGCACCTTTTGTGAACAAACAGTAGTATAATACACATTGAGAAAATATCGGCTCTGGTCAGCCACCAAGGTACATCTGGAACATGTGTGCTACTTCTTTATTTCTTCCTACATTGGGATTAAACACTCACTAACCTGTCGCCGAGCAGAACGTTTCACAAACGAGCGAGCCATCTGTTTCCCTAGGAGGAGAACTCAAGTCACGCAAGGTAGGACACCCGGAGAAAGGATTTTCCGACACCATTCACTAAGGTTGTCATAATCTAACGTACGGTTGGTAATGAGTCCAATCCATTCTCTCGCTCGTTCTCTCTGTCTCTGGCAGTACGCTCCCAATTTTGTTTTGACAGTCTGTAATCGGACGGTCTACAGTGAAAAATTGCGATTAAACAGAGCAGTCTAGCGAGCACGCCACTCACACGCAGTTTCCACTAACCATATATTGTACTTGACCGCCGAGCTGACGAAATGCATTCAAAAAAGAGGGTTTGAGGTGAGATTCGGACGAGTTCTTCGTCAACACCTATATAAGTTTACAGATCGGCGTGTTTCAACAACTGTTAAACCTTCGTCAGATTCATTCACCTTAGAAAGACAGGAAGCTAGAGTGCACTCAGTAGCCTACTGCGTAATCTAATAATGATTTTTTCATCCACTGAGAGCACTCAATTTCTGCGTTGCGTGTACACCTTCCTTTTCCGGGGAATATGGTTCTTCTCTTCTCAGTAAGTAAGAAAACTGTCTGGCACGAGGACCAAAATAGACTTTCCAACGGTCGATTATTGTTTTTTCCCAACCATAATTCCATACAATTTCGTGTCCTATCCACTTCATGAGTGACTGTCCCAAAACGTGATGAACTATGACAATCCATGAACAGACCAAGCTCCGAGATTCCGGTGCCTTTCGATGTCTCAGTACCTCCCACTCCCATCAGTCCCCCGGTTCCACCAGACATTACCCTAGAAAGACTCACCAGAAATGTTTGGAGAGTACCTGTTGCTTATTGTGACCTGTCTGGAAGTGGCCTTTGCAGCTTGTAGCTTCATTTCCATAGCCAGCGATAGACTTCACTGGGGCATGGATATTCTTCAACCTTGTCTAATTGTACACACCAGTGTTTACCAAATGCCTTTACAAACACGGCTAAAATCCTTTAACTTACTCAGTAGGTGTGGCTTTGAGGATTTTCATGACCAGCTGGCAGATAGGAGGTCCTGGACACTTGGTTCAAGACGGATTTACGCGGATTAGCCGTATTGTTTTACGTCACAAGTATAAAGGATACCTCCGAGCTTAAACTATTCCTTGAAATACTACCTATGGATGGAATTCTGATGATTTGTCTTGTTTTGTTTTATGAGAAACTGTCGATGGCCGCCTCATTTAGTCGAGATATCTCAATATGCGTTTGTCTAGACGTAACACACTACTCAGAAGGTTGTTGAAAGCCTGCTGACAGCTGAAAACAGGAAAGAAAACAGCAACCATTCCAGAAATGCACTCATTTGCAAATCAATTTGGTTCTTACGATAGACTCAACTGAATCTCTTGTTTATGGTATTCTACGACTGAATGTGCTGCACACAGGCGGCCTCATGTTTCAGTTGGCACGTTACTCGAGATATCGCAGTATATTTTCATAGAGGAAACTACTCACAAGGTTGCTGAAAACTCTTCGACAACCCACGACCGATTTCGCCCTTCTTGGGGCTCATCAGGTAGGCGCAGTCCCCGAGTTTCCGTCAACCTTTTGTTCTATTTAAACCCAGCAAGTGCGAAACCAGTCGTGGGCTGTTGAAGAGTTTTCAGCAACCTTGTGGGTAGTTTTTCTTTATGAAAAGCATTCAGTCCACTTGTGAACTGCTTGGAGCTTCTGAGTACACAAAACGACGTGTCTCTTTCTGTGTCTGCGCGCGCGGAGAATCGCACTCGAATAACCTGAAATCGATTTGCGTTCTCTCACCTTCGTCTACTTCCGTTGAAGATGCGAACACCGTTTGTAGACTCCGTTGTCCACTAGTTCCCAGGTTCGTGTTTTCTGACGCACAGATGACCTCATTATGCAAACAAAAAAGTCTGACAAAGAATATGCACAGTTGAACTGTCGAACAAGGCAGTCCACATTTCAGCCGGTGAGAAGTTTACCTATTGATTCGAGCGCTGAACAGTGTTGTGTGACGAACCACCGTCTAGAGTCCTGGGAATGAGAGAAAGTAAAAATCGCTGAACAAAACCCTTTCAGATGGGTTGCTGGCACTTCGGGGTCTGAGTCACACACACACACACACACACATACACAGGCGAGTTAGGGAAGTCTGTGGCAATCGATAGAACTTGAGACGCGTACTGTGTGTGTGAGCATCCCAGGCAATCTTGGTCCTAGAAATCACCAGTGTTAGGAGAACAGAGGGCGCGGAACTGGCAAGGGTGTGGAGAACGGTTTTGGATCAGTTGAGCTGACAAGTATTGGTGTGCGGTTACCACTCCTCTTCCGTCCCCTCAACTAAATTGGTGTAACACTTACAAGCCCAGTGGCACCCCGGGTGAATCATCAATTGAAGCACCCTGAAGTGGAGGATTTAAGAACCAAACCGGATCGCAACTTATTCGAAACTCCCGCCAAACTATCAGCGCAAGATTTAGGCGACCACACTAATCGACAAGATCTAGTGCGCTAATCTGAAGAAGTCTTACGGATTGATTCTCCGTCTGCGTTAAAATCTGGCCAACATGGGGACCGGCTCACTTGATGAAGTTTTGTGTCAAAAGCAAAACGTTTCACAACTAGAAAACTGCAGACTGTTTACCAAGCCCTTCTGAAACGATGATTTCTCAATCGTTTCCAAAATTTTTCAAATTGATTGAAACCAGCCTTTGGGAGATTTGAAAGTTGTTTTGCCCCTAAATTCAGGATCTTCATTTTTTTGGATTATACCGACCGAAATTTCTGCTTAGAAGTGACACACCTAATTGGGTTTATAGGGACAGTAATGCAAGGTGTGATATTTCCAGCTGACTACTCATTCGTGCGTTGTTTGGGCAAGTACACAATTAGAGAGGCAGTCGGTGTTTTCCGGTTGTTAAGAAACAGATCATTGTGATACCTGTAATGATTTGTTGTCTTGTTTACAGAGCTCGTATGTACGATGTTTAGGAGATTAGTCATAATTTATTCACGAACAATCTTTGCATGGAAACAGTTCCCAAAGAAACAGGAAGAACAACATGGCCAAGTGGCATGTTTACATTTCCACCACGTGTTGAAAAAGTTTGTACCTGATTACACTTTGGATAAGATCAGCTCATTGTTGAAACCTGCTCATGTGGAAATGTGAGTGATATTAAGGGGAAATCCAAATGAGTTTCTCTCATTTATGATATCATTCAGCTGACTGTGCTCTCACATGCTTGAAACCAAATTGACGAAATACTATTCATAATTGGTATTTGCAATGCACTGCTCATAAAGTTGCTGAAAGCTCCTCGACAGCCCACGACATCAGGTAGGTGCAGTCCCCGAGTTTCCGTCAACCTTGTGATCTACTTGAATCCAAATTGCACGAAATTAGCGAATATATACTCATTTGCAAACTAATCTGGTTTTTCGAGAGACTCACCTGGAACCCAACTGAATTTCTCGTTTGTGGTGTTCTCTGGCAAATGAATGTGCTGCACCAGGCCGCCTCATGTTTCAGTCGCTACGATATTTGAAATATCGCGGTACATGTATATTTGTAATGTACTACTCATAAGGTTGCTGAAAACCCCTCAACAGCCCATAAGTTGGCTGTTGGTTGATGCAAATGACTACATTGCGTAGGTTTGATGGAATATGCTTAAGTGACGGACCTCAAGAAGGGTGAAACCTTTTGTCGTCGACTTTGTCATGTGATTTAAGTAGTATATTCTGTCGAAAAAATTAGCTGCATCAAATCTCAAAACTTCGAACACTTGGTTCCACGTGCAATTAGCTTAAGTATTGGTACCTTGGTGCTCTGAACAAGGTGAGGTGTACACTGGTTGTTAACATGCCTTCATACAGCCCAGCCTACTGATTGAACTATTCAAGAAGTAAGTTCTTCGGAGAAACTTCTTTAGGCTATCATTCTGCTTCTGGAAAGAGGGAGAGGAACCAGACAAATCTTCAACTGATGTGATGACCGCCTGTTCTCATAGGACGCACAATGAAACGATACACGGCCGGGTTTGTGTATGCTTGTAGTAAACTGGTTGTTCGTGGTGTAACTCACGTGTTACCCAAAAGTTGTGTGTCACACGGTATAAGTTGGAACCATCGGTTGGGCATGCTCGTAAATTTTAGAGGTAAAGTTCTCTTCCCTCCTACAGAGACCAATTCATCGGAGGTAGTCGGTGGGCCGACGGGCGCGTAGAAGCCCAGAGAATGTATCAGCTCAAGCTAGATGTTTGATATCGACCATCGGCTGCTGGCATCATTGGGCGTATTTTGGATGTGCAAGCGAAATTTAGCAACATGATTCCTCGCACCCGATTATCTCGAACCAACCATCTGATTTCAGTCACTAAGTGGTACCGCCCGGATTTGTCGTTTGCTTCAATGACACGTTTATCGATTTGACGTTACATGAACAAGTGGAAATTAGATGTGATGAGCCCGAAAAGCGAGATCCGTCATCTTGGCTAGAAAAGATAATTATGAGAGTAGTAATTGCGTTCATTTTCGTAGATACACGACACTGGGGCGACGCTTCTTACTATTAAACCAGAGCCCAAGTAGTTTATGCTTACAGCTTGAGAAATTAAAATCACGGGCTATCAAATTGGATATTATTCGTTTGTTTAATGATGTCAAGAAGATTTTACAAACGCGCGAAAGAACACTGAGTTTCTGAACAACGTAGAACCAGTTTTCCGCCTTCCAGAGCTTTCCCAAGACCAGTTAAAGTTTGGAAATCTGGAACGAGTTCCAGCACTTGATAATATCACATTTTGGTTGGATTGGCTTCGTTATGCTATGAAGTTTGCTAGCCAGACACTTGACTGTCCAATAGAGTGGTGCTTGGCTGTGTTCCAGTATCCCATTCGCATCGAATGAATTCACCATGACTTTAGAAAATTCCCCTTCCACAGAATGGATTGCTCCAACCAGAGACCGATAATTTTAAGCTCATTTGTGTAGAACTCCGATGCGTTTAGGTAATTGAAGACTCTGTAGACAGGACCAAATATTCAAGCAACACGGCATGATATTTACTGGATCAGTACCGTTCTTCAATGCCAGAAAAACTACATCAACGACTATGGTAATACAAGTAGCTATCACTGCCGCCTCAGGGGGCGAGATGGACCAAGTGATTAGAACGCGAATTTACTAATCGGAAGGTCCGTGGTTCGAACCCGACCCGCTCTGCCTCTCGACTTCCCCTGTCTAGGCTTGGGCAACCTGGCAGTATCCCAGCCCTCGTGCCTCCTTCGTGTGGCATGGCAGCTTGACACCGAAAGGGTGCTATAGCTGGACGATTATTATTTCCGATTCTGCCGCCCAATGAAACAAACAAGTACCTGGTGGACCAAACACATCGTAAAATTCCTCTCTGGAAGAAGCTGTATCTGAGACTTATCATGAGAAAATCGATTTACAAGCATTTCACCCTGACAACTGTCGTATTTGGTGTACGGTTGAGCATCCCGGGGGTCCATTCGTTCGGCTTCGAGAGAATCGAACTGAACCTGGACACCAGATGGAGACCACCGCATTTAATAACTTTCATTCTGTTTAACACCTGATGCATTTTTTGGGCGTTACTTGGGAAAAAGGAACTGTATTTACCTTTTCAAAAGGATGTCAAAATTCACCTTAGTAACTCATGTTTATTGGTGTAGGGCAGAATTTTCTTTGTTGCTATCATGTTACCCCGGATGTATCCGTCTACCTGTGACAACTTGTGGCCGGAATACTCCCGGAGTATGAGTGCGAGACGTGGCCTCTGGCCACAGATGATGTGAGTCATCTTCAGGTTTTTGTAAACCGATGCCTCAGAAGCGTGGCCACTTTTGAATGGCGTCAGCGTGTTAGTAACGAGGTGATTAGAAAACGGGGAAGATATTCAACATCACTGACTACGATGGCTCGTTCATGCGAAACACCGTCTACCCAGAGGATTGTTGTTCTCCGTGCCTCCTCCTAGATGGCACAACCCCCCACCCAAAGAAAACACTTCCTTTAAATAAGTCAACCAGATTCCGTGGAAGAAACTAATCACAAGGTTGCTGAAATCTCTTCCACAGCCCATGACCAGTTTTGTCCTTCATTGAGTTCATCAGGGAGGCGCAATCCTCGAGTTTCTCTCAACCGTATGTTCTAATTTCACCCAGCTCGTCTAACATTTGCAAACCATATTCACCTGCATATCAAGATGTCTTCGGCCGAATTCATTTGGGCCTCTCGTGAAAACCAGATTCCTGTGCAAATGCGTGTACTAACTAGCTGTTTGTACTATGTGGCTTATAGTTCTTACGCAGAATCGTGGCTTGGGAGAAGTAAATCAACCGCCATGCTGAAAGAACAACTATTTAATTCATTAAACAAATTAGTCTACCTAGGCTCTGTGCGAGGCTCCGCAGACTGAAGGAAGTTGAGATCAATCAATTGGAAAAGGTTTGGAACCGATTGACAAGCCATCGTTTCAGAAGAGCTTGATAAACAATCGGTAGTTTTTAGCTGGGGAATCTTTCGCTTTTGACACACTGGAAACCGAGGTGAATCATCAACTGAAGCACCCTGAAGTGGAAGATTGACGAACCAAACCCGATCAGAATTAATTTGAAACTCCCCCAATTCACCATAGCAAGGTTTTGACAACTTCACTAACCCACAAGAGCCGTTAATTGACACTCAACATTGATCTGAAGAGGACTGACTTACTGATTGGTTCCCCGTCTGTCTTAAAACCTGGCCAATTTGGTGACCTGCTCACTTGGCCTGATGAAGCCTTTGTGTCCAAAGCGAAAAGTTGCCCGATTGTTTATCACGCTCTTCTGAAACGAAGTTGAGATCAGTTATTGACCCTGCAAGATTTCGCCCCGTCTATGAATGTCTGACTCCAGCGCTGTTTGTATAATTCGAACTGGGGCAAAACAGTTCATCCTGGTGAAGTGGCTTCTTCGAGTAGAAGATATACTGGAACTTTCCATGGTTCCTTCGAAGAACGTTCCGGATTCGCGGGACGGTCTCAGTTGGTGTACCTCTGGAACACATGCCAGTCAATTAGTGCGCGCCACTTGAAGCATGTCTCTCGCCTAACAGATAACTGCCAAACTCTGGGAGCCGTTTGCCCAACACAGGATGCTAGATACAACACGCCAAAACGCAGGTGATTTATAACCTAGCAATCAGCTGATTGACAAATGTTTTCGCTCGATCGATAGGTAACACGCTCAGATCCATGTTTTCCACGGCGGGAGTGGTTGTTACAGGGTAAACGTTTCCGGGACGTTTCGTAATCAGTCTACATCTCAAGACGTGGAATCAGCAGTTACTATGGTTATCTAAACCACTCTGGCAACCGTGGATTTAGTGGGCTCAATCTCCGAAAATGAGTTGACCATATACTGCAGACGATGAGTTGACAAACTGACTGCGAGCCCTTGTCATCTTGTAATAACGCTAACAATTAAGTAAGCGTTTACTGGTTATCTCATGGTAATCCATGGGAAAACGTCTTATATACACTAATCACAAAAGCACTGTCAGGGCTGGCAAAGTTGCATTTATCGACCTTTACCTATTGAGGCAAAGTGATTAAGTGGATTGTAAGACCCATTAATCCAAGTCGTTGTTACATTTTCGCTGCAACAACTATAAAGTTTTGCTAAATTTGGGAACCGTCTCCACTTCCCCTTTTCTGTCATCCGAAAGATGTGAAAAGTGTCCCCCGAACAAGTTGTTTTGCTGCTCTCCCATTGTCCATGCGCATTATCTGTACGCAAAGGATGGATTAACCGAATACCCACGGGACCTTTACACCGCTCAGATCGAAATTCTTTGACCACGTGGTTCGTTCACAGGAATTTAATCCCTTGAATTGATGCATCTTGTTGTTCAACTTCTTACGTCCATGCTTCAAAACGTTCGAGTGTCCCATGTGACATGCATTGGGCTTTCATCGTAAACCGATCAAACCTTCGCGCATCACCGACAAACAGGAAAACAACTGGGTTTTAAATTTTACAAACAGAAAGAATTCATTGACGAAAAAATTCCGAAATGGAAGTTGCTCGGAAAGATCACATTCACAAGTAGTCTGTTGAGTTGTTCCAACAGAAGGTTCGAATTTCTGGTACCGGCTGGAAGACGCACGCCGCGAAAACAACGGTTTCGAATGAGAATGGATCTCAGCTGCCCTTTCTTACCCGGTAAATACTTTGCTAGGAGAATCACAGATGTCATAAGTTTCCAGAGAGTGCTTGAATATTTTGTGAAGCTGTGATTGGTTGTGCAGCAGAATGCACCTCGTGACTATTGATCGTAGCTCCAGATGGTCCACTGCGGACTACGTCTATAATAACCCCTGTCAAAGTGTTCATCTATTCCGATCCTTCGTAATAAACTAGTAAATGACCTTGTTGTTTCCTTTACCTTTTCCGCGCAGATCGATAAATTCAAATGAACAAACGTTCACGTTTGACGTAAATGCCCAACGGTTTTTACTCAGTAAACTCTCTTGTACATGACAGATTTCAAAAGCGTCAAACGTGTATCATGAATACTGATATAGATATATATATTGTTCTAAATCTCTCTCGGAAAATGTGGACACACTCTTGAAAAACTCAGCACAGAAGATGTCTTTCTGTGGAAGTCCACGTTATCGGGCAGCTAAATTAGGTGTTTGGGAGCCTATCGAGAAAACCCCCAAGGCGAACGTTTTATACTCCCTTTCTTGGGGTGAAATCTGCTCAGTGGAGTACGTAACCCAATGTAATTAGCAGGATGTAATTAGCAGGAATCGATAGAAGAAACCTTAAAAACAGTGAGATGGAACCCTTTTAGTGTCACTCTTATACGTACGACGGAGTCCTCGCACAAGGGAATGAAGAATTTATAACACTGCAAACACCAAAATGTGCCTCCAGTGCCTCCAGATAGATAAATAGATAGATAGATAGATAGATAGATAGATAGATAGATAGATAGATAGATAGATAGATAGATAGATAGATAGATAGATAGATAGATAGATAGATAGATAGATAGATAGATAGATAGATAGATAGATAGATAGATAGATAGATAGATAGATAGATAGATAGATAGATAGATAGATAGATAGATAGATAGATAGATAGATAGATAGATAGATAGATAGATAGATAGATAGATAGATAGATAGATAGATAGATAGATAGATAGATACATACTCCGCTATGTTACGAGTATGTGGTTTTCAATACCATCATCAAATCCTTTTGTAGCATGCTGTAGTCGAATAGAGCGTTCCTTCTGCAAGGCGTTTTGACCACTGCCCAACAAAATGGTCACGTTAGTCAATCATTGCGTACATCCGGAACGATGGCTTGACTGTTATAAAACTAAACTAATGGAAAATGTGCTTCCTGAATCATCTTATGAGGACACGCCGCTTATGTCTTCGAAAGAGCTGTACGGAAAATGGATCATGAAATAAGACGCCTGATTCGTTAGTTTTCTTCCTGAGGGCAGCAAATGTGAATTCCCTAGAATGTCAGAGAGTTAAAACTCAGTCAATTAAAAAAATCCTCGTAGCTGCTTTTAGAGGAATCACGGATTCTCCGGAACTATGCGCAAGTGGAGTGCAATCACGCGAACCCACACACACACACACACACACCTGTTTTGAGCTGTGCGAGGACTGACGAGGTTATTTATCTTCGAGAACATGGTTTGACAACTCCCTAATTGCATCTCGAGTGGAGAAGATATTAATTAATTGCTCGATATGCGAATAAAGTTCTCATCACGCACTCTGGCATGAGTCATCTGGTTTTGATGAAACTGAGTGTAGATCCACTGAGCCAAGAAATCAAACGATAATATCATCAATGCTGTAGCACCCTTTCGGTGCCAAACTGCCACTCAACCAGAAAGAAACACGAGGGCCGGGATACTGCCAGAGGAAGTCGAGAGACAGAGGTCAGGTTCGAACCACGGACGTACCGGTCAGTAAATCCGCACTCTAACCGTTGAGCCATCTGTAATTCTCACCTTAATTGTTCCTTGTGTATACACCGCATTGTTGGAGTCAACTGTATAGTGCATCCAGATCAAATGACTGTGTCTCGAGTTAATGTGATAATTTCGATGAATATCGCAGAGTAATTAATATAAGGTAATGTACGTAGAGCGGTAGTAAAGTTCGTCAACCAGTTGAGCATCTACCTTACATCAGTATACCGGGCAAATGCGTGTATAATGCCACTTGGGCTTCGGTTCTTTTCGAAGACGGTCGTGAATGAACTCAGTTCAGCAAAGAAGAATTTGCCCTCCACGTTTTGAGATTTCCGCTTTGAAAGGGATTAATGTTGCGGTTGTGGGTGCGCGGCCATTGCTCTGTTTGTTTAGCCGGGTAATTTTGTTTCACTCGTCACTCGAAGAGTCGAGCTATAAGTGACCACGTGATTTCGATTTGTGAATGAGTGAAGTTATATCCCGTGAAAGTGAGTTTTATTCACACTGCTGTTTTGCCGCTCGTGACAAAACGGTGAAGTGCTCGTCGGAATTTCGTGGATTCTAGACCCTATAATTTGATTCCCGACAGGGATGAAACAGCTGTTTAATGGTTTTCAGTTTTTCTCAGCATAATCTGATTTCACTGACGGTACAAAACCTTTAGTGAAAAGATTTGCTCAAGCGTGAGGGGGTATCGTTAGCATGCAGCTAGTTCACACTGTTTCCCTGCAGACTAATTGCCCAGCTCAGGAAACAGGACAGAGGCTAAAACGTAAAACTTAAGAAAGTGAATTGCTGCTGTACTTTTGAATAGTTCGCTTAGTGCGCTCAAAACAAATCAGCGAAATGGCGGAAAACTGAAACATTATTTTGGACACTATTTTCTTTCCACCAGGGGTGGTGGTCCTTCTAAAGGCAGTCAAAAATTCGTAATGCAATACTCATAAGGTTGCTGAAAATCCTTCAGCTGGATTTCGGATGAGTCTCTCGCAAAGCCAAATTTGTTTGCAAATAAGCGTATTCCGCTAATTCCGCGCAACTCTGGTTCAAGTAGAACATAAGTTTGACGGAAACCGGGGGACTAAACCTACCTGATGAGTTTCGAGAAGGGTGATACCGGTCGTGGGCTATGGAAGAATCTTCAACAATTGAAAATTACTTGCGCTGAGGAGACAATGGCTCTCGGAAACGGATTGCTTTCGCTAGGCATGTCTGTAGCTTAGCAAGTTTGAATGTGCACATTACTTGAAGACGTCAGTTTCGCTAACTTCCAAAATCCTCATTACATCAAACAAATAATAACTTTTTATGGACGAAATACACTACTCACAAGGTTGCTGAAAACCCCTCTTATGAACATCATAAACGAAAGATTCAGCTGGGTTCCCAATGAGTCTCCTGTAAAAACCAAATTAATATGCAAATGAGTGTACTTTTCGAAACGCTGACTTCATTCTGCTGTGGACCTGGGAAGGATCACACGTGCATGGCAGATACGTGTGTAGCGTCCCATTATTATCACGTTAACTGATTTCGAACGAAAAAAACTCCTCGGGGGTGCGTGTGCACCACAGAGAGGGGGCTGAAACAGTTGAATGAGATTTCTATTCTCTCTATTTATGCTAACAACCTTCCTACCTGCGTTTCAAGTTGCTGACGGGGCGGTTGGTAACTGTGGTCTTTATGTGACAATCTCTACCCGGTCTGCTGAACAGCCATATACTTGATGTTTGTGTTTTCGATGACTTGGGCCAAGTGCTCGCTGACGCGACGCCGGCCCCTCGGCTACTGGATGGTGAGGTGGCAGTTGACCTACGCCGATGAAATCCGCCAACCCATTAGATGTTGCACCATGTGCTGTCTGGTGAACCACGTCTCCGACACCCCGGGAATATGATCGGTGGCTATAAATTCACCGACATATCTAAATCCACACCTGCCAAATGATGTCCACACAACCACATAGTCCGCAGGGTTGCCTGATTTGTATATCTAGTCCAGTTTAGTTTGATGTTTCTAAATGTAGAAAGAGAAATTCGATCTGTGCTCCGTTTGGGGATTTACGATTTTGAAAGTGTTCAGGTAGTGTGCATGAAATAGACGTAAAAAGGTAAAAATCAAGTGGATGACAGAGAGAACACGAGAGAATTCGGCAGCTACTTGCGGATACAAGCACACCAGCGCACGGCTGCTCAATGTGTCAAGACGCCATTGATAATTGTGCGGTCAGGGGTTACTGAATCAATTTGGTCTTGATTTGCAAATGAGTGTATTTCTCGAAAACAGTCCAATTTGGGTTGCTGAAAAATCTTCGACTGCCCACAACCGGTTTCGCCCTTCTTGGGGCTCATCAGACAGTCAGTCACGCAGGTGCAGTTACCGGGTTTCCTTGAAACCAAATTGCACGAAGTTAGCGAAATACATTCGTCTGCAAACAAATTCGGTTTTGTTAGAGACTCACCTGGAACCCAGCTGAATCCTTCGTTTATAATGCTTTTAAACAATTTGGCTTCAGTTAGAACATAGGGTTGGCGGAAACTCGGGGACTGCGTATAAGTGATGAGCCCAAAGAAGGGCGAAACCGGTCGTGGGCTGTCGAAGTGTTTCCAGCAATCCTGTGAGTAGTTTCCTTCATGAAAATATACTGCGATATCCCGAATATTGTGCCAAATGAAACATGAGGCAGCCTGTGTACAGCACATTCGGTTGTAGAATATCATAAAGGAGAGATTCAGTTGAGTCTTATGTGAAAACCAAATTGATTTGCAAATGAGTGTATTTCTCGGAAACAGTGCAATTTGGTTTCAAGTAGAACATAAGGTTGACGGAAACTCGGAGACTGTGCTCACCTGATGACGAAGGGCGCAACCGGTCGTGGGCTGTCGAAGAGTTTTCATCAACGTCGTGAGTAGTTCCCTTTATGAAAATAACTAGATGTCCTTTTCTCAGTTTTACCCTACATATATCTGCATGGTTCATGCACCAAATTGATGAAGTTGTGAAAGTCAAGAAAAACGGATCCATGAAAACCAAGCTTACGCTGCGGTAGACTGAGTTTCCTTTCTGTCACTGAGGCCAATCTATGCTGAAAAGCCAAAAAGCATCGTAGAGCTTTTCAATCCTCATCAGAAATGGGCATCTCACGAAACTGAAAGAGTTTCAAACTGACTCGCTCCTGGCCATTGTTTGAATACTTGACCGTTTGGTTATGAGCGGCTGATCTACAGCCTGATTAGCCCTCACTCATACATGATTCAATCACAGGAGTTTGATCACGTGAGAATTTATTGACCAGTTCCTGACGACTTCTGAGATGGAAGTTTCACTCATCTTGTGAAATTACTCTTCATCTCAGCCAATTATAGATTGACGGTGGTTAGAGGAAATTTGTTCATCTCCAAGGCATAACGAAATCTCGTTTAAAAGTTATCGATTGTCCTCACACCATCGTTTGTCCAGAAAAGGCTCTTTTATGCCTGATTTATCATAGTTCCATGTATCAAACTCAAAATGTCTACATAACCTGATGTCCCCTAAATGATATACGTTTGCATCCATATCAGTATGAAAACGTTTGTTCGTACGGGATTCTTTGGAATGAAGATTCATCTCAGCGAAATATATTCATTTGCAAGCAAATTTGGTTTTGCGAGACACTCGCCTGGGACCCGACTGAATCTCTAGTTTGTGATGTTTTTAAGCAACTAAACAAGCTGCACCAGGCAGCCCCATGCTTCAGAGATGTCGCGATATATGTATATACGTAACACACTACTCATGAGGTTGCTGAAAATGCTCAGCAGCCCACGACCAGTTTCGCCCTTCTTAAGACCCAAATTAGCAAAATACGCTCATTTGCAAACAAATTCGGTTTTGCGATAGATTCTACCTGAAACCAGCGGCTATGTAGGTTGATTCGGGAGCTCTATGCACTTACTAGTGGGCCCCAAGAAGGGCGAAACCGGTTATAGGTTGTTGAGGAATTTTCAGTAACCTTATAAGAAGTGTATTAAGTCTATAGAAGATTCGTTTCATTTGAAGACAAAGAATCTTAGAAGGTAAGTTCTTAACAATTCTGGGCCCACTTCGCTCTCTATCCGATAGAATTAAATGTTCACTACCGGCTCTCATGAAAGTAGACCAGTGTACAAAGCTAACATATCTCACGGTAGCCCTGAGATCTGGCATATTTTCAAGCCCCAAACCGGCTGTCCTCACGATGACATCTGGTAACGGTGTTGTTTGGTAAATTTTTCCTTTTTGATGAAGCACAAGAAACAATCAGTAGTCCGGAAATCGTGTTCACTACACCTACTACATCTGTGCGATTTTCACATCAGATGAACGCAAACAAATTTTATCGAACAAAAGTCCAATTAACATCAATTAATCACAATCAATGAGTCGATAGCGGATAGAAAAGCTCTAATTGCCAGTGTTTGCATGTACCTCGGTTTGTGGAAAACAAGATGCAGAGTAAACAATGAAGACTGTTCAAAAGATGAAATAATCAATGAAGTGTCCACGTTTGAGAACAAATTTCAAACCGCTCAAAAGGAACTAATGTATGTAGATTGTAAATACGTTAGCGCATGTGATATTTGTAAACCAAAAGGAACGGTTCATGAACAACTGGTTTTTCGCTACAAACAATATTTCACCCTTTTCTGTCCTGTGCAAGCGTAGAGTTCGGACAGTAATTATCGGAGGAGGGCGAATGGATCAGTGGTTAGAACGCGGATTTCCTAACCTGAAGGCCCATGGTTCGAACCCGACCTTTGCCTCTTGACTTCCCTGTCTAGGCTTGAACAGACTGGCAGCATCCCAGCTCTCGTGCCCACTGTGAGTGGCGTGGCAGCTAAACACCGTACGGGTGTTACAGATGAACGGTATATATATATATATATATATATATATAATTTTGCATTCGGTTAGATCATTTAGATAAAACAACTCAGTAGAACTGCGGTAGTCTGAGGTTAACGCTCACATTTATTGGAGAACACAGCAGGGACTGGAATTCAATTACCAACCGGGAGTGTGACAATTTTTCACCAAAAGCGAACCAAAGTCAGAATCAGACTAATTTGTTTTCAACTGAGAGTTTAACTACAGTCCAACTGAATCTCTCGTTTATGCTATTATTCAAATGAATGTGTTGCACGTCACACGTTTCGGTTGGAGATATTACGGCATATTTTCTCGACAGAATTGATTATTCTTACAATTGTTTTCAGCAACCGTATGAGTAGTATGTTCCTTTGAGAATGAATGTTAGCCCACAGCCATTCGAGCACAGCGTAGCTGACTGACACAAAGTTGCGTTTAAGAAGAAAACGCTACACAAGCATCCGTGTCATTGGTGGCTCTTACGAAAGTAAATATTCAGTTTTTTAAGTACAAGTGAATGAAATATTGATTGGCTTGAAAAAGGCTGCACTTGATGCAGCCAGCAAAGAGCAGTTGAGCAGCCAGCTGGTCTATCGGAACTTCTCAGAAGGGGAGAATTTAATCTAGACGATTCTTGTGAGATTTAGTCACAAGTTAGTTCCGATCCATTTGACTTTAGGCTGGCTTTTGATGAAGTTTACGCATCAGCATTTCGGAGAGAGGAAAACTGTAAATGTTGGATTATAAACCTACGAAACAACAAGCATATGTAATTAGTCACACGCTTCAGAGGCGACTCTAAATGGGGTTTAACTGCGGCCGACGCCAGTTGGGTAGATGGACTGTGTGCGTTCTTAAAAATCTGTGCATGGGATATGCCATTACACAGCTAGCATCGAGAAAGACAGTAGAAAATGAGATAAGCCAATACCATCCAGCCGATAAGCAATTGCGAATCAAAAGAGTTGTTCGGTTCCCTCTACTGTTGGCGGATCAATATCAAGCGGGCTATTACACGAATCTGCACGAATCCGCAAGACTCGGGCCGCGTTTATTAATTTGAGACACCTATGGCGTCAGAGTGATTTATCCCTTAATTTCAAGCTACAGTACGGGTTGTTTTGTTGTATGGCTGTGAGACTTGGCCTATTCGAGCACTGAGCCTGAGACTGCTTCAAGTGTTCGACAATCGTTGTCTCAGAACGATAGCTCGTGTGGGTTGGTGTCGGCGAATCCGTAACGAGGCAGTTAGAGAGCGTGTTTCCGGT